AAATACATGGGAAGAACTAACGAACGAAGCCGGTCGCTCGCGGTATAAAATGACTGCGAAACAGTTATTATTGATTATTGTAAAGTAACGACGTGGCTGTCGACATTACTCATCCACGAGGGGACCTTTCGATGCGAGCTGCCTGAGGCCAAAGCAAAGGATTGAGAAAGATGCACGTTAAGATACGTGATCAAGAGAAAGAGCGAACGATCCGAGCGGAGGACCGACCCGAAGATTCAATGGGGTCACAGACATATGGGGGTAATGGAAAGGGGTTTCAATGTATCTAGGGATCAAAAATTGTTAATAAATAAAGCAAAAAAAGCAAGGTTTTTTCAAGACGTTTCTGTTCGAGGACTCAATACAGTACAGAAATATGGAAGCGAACTTAGTAACCTACTGAATACACTGAAGAATCACGGTAATATTAACGTTTGCATGCTCAAACTAATCGACCGATCGTTGGTAGAGGCAGAAATAAATGGCGTGCAGTATATGGAAACGACTATTATTATTATGATTATTTTGAGGAAGTGATTGAGAAGAAGTGGACAAAGTATTTAGGGAGGTGTCAATTTTAACCGTCGCGAACTAAGTAATATTGATGGTGAATAATGATAATAAGTCAAGATGTACCACGAAACCTAAATAAATAGGGAGCTAATTCAATGGCCAGTTAATCAGTGTCCATTATAAAAAGGCAGGCATGCTAGGTAATAAATCACGATTGTCTATGCTTGGTAACTCGTCGAGTATTTCCTGGTATGCAAGTCTATTTTTAAAAGTAACGCTGCGTCTACTTCTGCTAGAATCTCTCGGAAATCGATAGTGGAAATTAATTTGCTGTGTAATTTAAGACATCTTTATTTGATAACTAAAAATATTGCTGAATGTGTTGGCAATGCAACCATACAGATAAGCATCATGACTGTTTTTTTAAGTTCTAAATGCTCTCCCTTTCCATATTTTGTTGGACAGAATCCTATTACAGGTCCATTTCAGGTGGATAGCAAAAAAAAGTCGAAATATAGAACACGACACATTGGATTATAACATACTAAGTAAGGAATCATTTCGAACAAATACATATTACGTCAGCCTATACTTAGCTGATTGGGGCTGCAATCTGATCGTTCTTGTCTTAAAAAGAACTTCTTAAATGTGCTTATTGGCCATACAATTAAAGAAATGTGCGTGTAGAAATACTCAGATCGGGAGTTAACGATCTTTGTTAAATGGAACATGCTTCAATAAAATGCAGATTCAAACCTTTGGCTGACAAATCAGTGTTGGGAATTGCGAGTTCAAACCCAGCCATTAGCATATGCTACACAACGTGTGTGATTAAATAAAGATATGCAGAACTGTTGCCGATCGTCTGTCATACATCGAACTATGTACTTCTCGTACCGAATAAGACGATGCCAGTTTAGATAAAATTAATATTAATAACCTGTATTAATGGATGGCAATCTGTTTTGACATTTGTTTGGTTTCACATCATGAATCTGAACCTGAATATGAGGGATCTAAACTTACTTATTAAATTATAATTAAATAGTTTTGTCTTCTATATTTTACATCTTTCCTGGGGTTTTTTCATGGAAATGTCTTTATTTTTAATCATAAAAACCAGCTGTACAGTATATTACACAGTTATCGATTGCTCGTTAGTGTGCCATCGGTTGGAAATGTGGCTTTGTTTATCCTATTTCAAACTTAATTAAATTTTGTAAAAGATAACCTTTAATATTCCATACTAAATATATATAGTTTTTCTTGAATTCAATTAATATGTACCTTTATTCTTGGATAAAAAGGATATACAAGGTAGAATGTTCTTGTCGGCTTTGTTAGTACTGGTACCGTTGCAGAGTACTACTGACAATTCGTGGCGCAACCGATTGTAAAACAATCAGATAAGAAACCTTCAAACATTCATTTTCGATGATTCTCGTAGCACCATGACATTGTTCTACGTAACATTCATTTTACACAATAAATAGAATCAAGCCATATTCGAATAATCGCTTTGGTCTCCTGTGTGTCGACAATAGTTTCCTTTAGAGTTCTACAGTTTTTTTGGCGTACTACTTTTATATATACTGAGAGTATATTTATCAAGTACAATACAGTACAAAGATAAGGCTTGAGTCAGGCATGTTCTTCTTTCGCTTTTTTCTTTTGGCTTACAAATCAAAATTGGTAAACTCAAGATCACTTTCTCGAATGTGTGGCAAGTGACAACCGGCTATTGGACACCGTGGGTACGTTATAGTACGAATGTAGGGTAGTATAGTTTCATAACAATAGAGGTGACGACATCTCTTATTACGGACCGGGTTTTTTATGGGGCCTTTAGTTAGCGGGTCAATGCGGCATTCCTCGGCTTCCACTATCTGAAAAAATAAATTGATTGCACAGGATATACGTCTTACATTCTCCAGATATCTGATAATGGATTACAATACTTGTTTTGTTTCTTTATCCTGTTCATATGTGCTATTGTATTTTCTTTATCCTGTTCATATGTGCTATTGTATTTTCTTTATCCTGTTCATATGTGCTATTGTATTTCACACCTTTCAATAAAACTTTGAGAAAGTGCCATCAAAATAACCGATTTACCTACTTTAACAACCACATTTATTTGATTTCTATCAGACCTGACAAAGTATCAACTGACAGTGATTTCGTTGCTTCAGCTTACCTCGACATCCCTGGTTCTTCGACTCCTGTTACTCTTTTTTTGTCCTCTGGACGTTCCCGCCTCCTCGATCGGTTCAGTGTAAACGTTCGAACGATTTATAATCTCCTGCAGTTGTGTTAGCTCGGGGAATGACTCTTCCTCGTAGTTCAGATTCTTCTCGTTGGCTGCCATTTGCTCTAACTGAGCTTTGAAGTCTCCGCCTGGAGCCTTAAAATAATAATAATAAAGTAATATGATCTCCTTGAACTAAGTTGAAAATAGAGTTTTTCACGTAATGATACGATCATTTAAAAATCATTACTATCACTTGTTATTAAGTCACTTAATTAGAACTTGCTGCAACTGTTCAAAAGGTAGTTGAGCTAAGTTCCAAATAGTGATAAATCAAAAGCAGTAAAAATGCTAAAAACTTCTTAGAGGCGTGGCATCTTTTTATGCAAATTTTTTTTATGTGCTTTGAGTGCTAATTTTAGTGGCACGAGCTAATATTCGGTCTCTATCTTACATTTAACATTGAAAAGCTGCTCAACGACCAACTATTTGGTCCCCATATACGGGTTCTATTGCAAAAATGCTACCTGAAGTGCAATATCTAGACGAGTTTTATATTTTTCGACTTTCCTTGAAACCCCGTATAGCATTTTCATTGCTTCCACCATGTCCGACCTGTACGCATCTGTCATTAGAGAGCTATAGTCCTGAAAAATAGTAGATCGAATAAGTATTCATACATCATAATATTTTAAATAGTTTCATAGATTTTTACTAAAAGTTATGCTGAATATTTTCACAAAGTCGATAACAATAAGTGAAAAAATTATACGTTTACTTATTACTCCTATAGGAAGTATACCTCTAAAATACATAGCTGCGTTTCTTCCAGAGGTATGTACTCTGTGACAAGTTATTCAGCCCAAGTTAACTTGCCTAAAACGTAAATCCATATGATTAGGCTAAAATTAAACGAAAACAGATATTTCTATCGACGAACATGACAATTGATTACCAGCTTCTATGTTCTCAACTCAATGTAATTAAATCGCTTATTTTATATTGGGGG